GTAGAAATAGTGATAACAATAGTACTAGCAGTAGTCGTAGTAGTCCTCGTCTTAGTAGTAGTAGTAGTAGTAGTAGTAGTAGTAGTAGTAGTAGTAGTAGTAGTAGTAGTAGTAGTAGTAGTGGTAGTTGTAGTAGTGTAGTAGTATCAAGAGTAGTAGTAGTCATAATAATAGTAATAATACAAGTAGTAGCGATAGCGGTGATACTGGTAGTCGTGGAAATAGTAGTAGTCGTCGTCGTCGAGTTGTCGTCGCAATCGTGGCCGTAATAGCTTCACTGGTAGAAGAAGCATGCTAGAAGTAGCGTTGGTAGAAGAGGTGGTATAAGTAGAAGTAATAGTAGTTCTGGTAGTAGTACTACAAAGAAAGAAACAACCCATAATAGTAATCATCGTAGCGGCAGTAGGAGGTCAAAAAATGCGGACAGCAAAACAACAATAATAGTTTCAATCGTATTAGTAGTAGTGATACTAGTAGTAGTCGTAGTAGTAATTGTCGTAGTAGTAGTAGTAGTAGTAGTAGTAGTAGTAGTAGTAGTAGTCGTCGGAGTCGTAGAAGTAGTCGTAGTAGTAATGGTATTGGGATTAATCATTATGAAAGTAATAGTAATCGTCGTAGAGGCCGCGGTAGCAGAGGAAGTCGCAGCCGTAATCACAGTAGTAGCAATAGTACTTGCAGTAGTCCCAGCCGTAGCTGTAGTCGTACTAGTCGCAGTCGTGGTAGCAATAATGAAAATAGCGAAACCATCATAATGGCCGTCGGAGCTTTAGTCGTAGCAGTCGGTAGTAGCCATGGAGATGGTCGCGTTAGCCATTCCAGTAATAATAATAATGGTGGTCGTAGGCAGGTAAGAGCAGGTAGGAGTATCAGGTGGAGTAGAAGGGCAATAGTAGTAGCAGAATGAGTAGTCACAGTAGTAGATATGGAAGTAGTAATAATAAAAATACCTGTCGTTGCAATACTACTCGCGGTCGCACTTCTAGTTTTACTAATAGTTGTACTCCTACTACTACAACTAAAACGAGTAGTCCTGGCAACACGTCGTAACAATAATGTTATAAAAGTTGTCGTAGGGGTAGCCGTCGTACAAGCAGTAGCCGTTAAAAAAACTAAAAGTAGCAGCCACGATCGTAGACGTAGCATTCGTAGTGGTAGTAGCAGTAGTAGTAGTAGTAGTAGTAGTAGTAGTATTAGTAGTAGTAGTAGTAATAGTAGTAGTCGTATAAGTAGTCGCTGCAGTAGTAGTAGTAGTAGTAGTAGTAGTAGTAGTAGTAGAAGTAGCAGTAGTAGTAGAAGTAGTAGTCAGAGTAGTAGTAGTAGCAGTAGTAGTAGTAGTAGTAGTAGTAGTAGTAGTGGTGGTACCAGTAGTAGCGGTAGCGGTAGCAACAGTAGGGGTGACATTTGCAATGGTAGTTGTAGCCGTAAAAGTAGCAGCAGTAGTAACAGTACTCGTAGTAGAAGCAGTAGTAGTTGTGATAGTAGTAGAAGTAGTCGTGATAATAGTGGTGGCAGTGGTAGAAGTAGCAGTAGTAGCCGCCATAATAGTAGAAGATAAAGTCGTAGTCGTCGCAGTCGTGATAGAAGTGGCACAATTAAGGAGCGGCAGGCAGCAGCAGCAGCAGCAGCAACAGGTAGTAGTAGCAGTGGCAGTAGTAGTAGTAGTAGTAGTAGTAGTAGTAGTAGCAGTAGTAGTAGTAGTCGTAGCAGTAGTAGTAGTAGTAGTAGTAGTAGTAGTAGTAGTAGTGGTAGCCGCAATGGTAGTCGCAGTGATAGTAGTAGTAGTAGTAGTAGTAGTAGTAGTAGTAGTAGAAATAGTAGTAGTCACAATCGTACTAGTAGCGGTAAAACTTGTAGTGCTAGAAAAGAAGAATGAGCAACACATACATAATAATAGAAGTAACAGCAATAGTAGCAGCAGCTATGGCAGAACAAAATCGTAGTGGTCGTCGTCATAACAATAATAATGGTACATCAATTCGCAGAAGTGGTAGTCGTAGTGCTTGTTGTCGTAGTGCTAGTAGTAGCGCTAGTCGTTGTAGTAGTAGTTGTAGTACTTGTAATACTTATACTAGTTGCAATCGTGGTAGTAGTAAAAGCAAGTGTAGTAGTAAAAGACAGTAGTAGAAATAACAGACATGGTACTAGTAGTAAAAAAAGAACATACCCGTAGTAGTAGCAGTATCAAAAACAATAGTAGTAGTAGTAGTCGTAGTAGTCGTAGTAGCAGTAGTAGTAGTAGTAGTAGCAGTAGTGGTCGTAGTAGGGAGTACGAGTGGTAGTAGTATTAGTAGCAGTAGCAAAAATAGCAATACTAATCGTAGTACTGGCAATCGAAGTAGCATTGGTGGCAGCAGTAATAGTAGTAGTAGTAGTAGTAGTAGTAGTAGTAGTAGCGGTAGTAGTAGTGTTAGTAGTAATAGTAGTAGTAGTAGTAGTAGTAGTAGTAGTAGCTGTAGTACTACGACTCGTAGTAGTAGTCGGAATAGTAGTAGTACAAGTAGAAGTAGAAATAGTGGTCGTAGTAGTAGTCGTAGTAGAACAACAACTAGTAGTAGTAGTAGTAGTAGTAGTAGTAGTACTACTAGTAGTAGTAGTAGTAGTAGTAGTAGTAGTAGTAGTAGTAGTAGTAGTAATAGTAGTAGTAGTAGTAGTAGTAGTAGTAGTAGTAGTAGTTATAGTAGTAGTAGTCGTCGTAGTAGTAGTAGTAATATTAGTCGACGTCGTCGTAGTAGTAATAGTAGTAGTAGTAGTAGTAGTAGTAGTAGTAGAAGTCGTAGTAGTAGTAGTAGTAGTAGTAAAGGTCGTGTAGTAGTAGTAGTAGTGGTAGTAGTAGAAGTAATAGTAGTAGTAGTAGTAGTAGTAGTAATAGTAGTAGTAGCAGTAGTAGTAGTCGTAGTCGTAGTCGTAGTAATATGAGAAGTAGCCGTAGTAACAATAACCGTTAACGTAGCAGTCGTAGTAGTAATAACAGTAGTAGTAGTAGCGATGGTAGAACTAGTAATGGTCGTAATAACAGTCGTAGTAGTTGTTGTCGCAGGTGTAGTAGAAGACGTAGTAGTAGTTGTAGTAGCTGGAGTAGTGATAGTAGTGGTAGTTGCAGCAGCACCAGGAACAGGCAGTAGTAGTAGTAGTAGTAGTAGTAGAAGTGATCGTAGTAGCAGTAGTAGTAATAGTAGTGATGGTGTAGTAGTAGTAGTAGTAGTAGTAGTAGTAGTAGTAGTAATAGTAGAAGTAGTAGTAGTAGTAGTAGTAGTAATAATGGTGACAGGATTAGTAGTCGTACTAGAAGTTCTAGTCACAGTCGTAGTAGTCGTAGTAATACTAGTAGTAGCACTCGTAGTGGAAGAAGAAGAAGAACGAGCAATGGTAGCTCTTGTTGCAGCTGCTGTGGAATCGCAATCGTCCGCCACCGTGGCTGTACACACTGGGCGTGTTAGAACAGTCTTCCGTTGCCTGGGCAACTTGTTTTAACTGTTGGCTGTGCCCCCATCCATTCCTCCTCACACGCGCCCTTCGAACACCGGCCCCTGAAGTTTTGCTATCCAGCGCCCTTTTCGGCCTTAAGACTACCAAGATGGCCTCCAAGACGGCATCCAAACCGACCAAGATGCCACCAAAACGGCCAAAGACGGCATCCGAGGCTCCCTAACGGGCGCAAGACGACTAAAGAGACTTCCAAGACTGCCCAAGATGGCTCCAAGAGGCCTTCCAGAAGAGCCCGAGGCAGCCAAACACCTGCATTGTCCTAGGGGTTTGAAGGATCTGGAGGTTCTCACCTGTTTGGTTTTCCGACCGCCCAAGACAGCCCAGTGGGACTCCAAGCTAGCTGCAAGACAGCCCATGAAGCCCCCACAGAGGAACTCCAGAACGGCCCACGGGAACCCCAAGATCGGCAAAGGGCCTCCCAAGAAGGGCCCCGAGACGGCTCGAGAGCGCTCCAAAAGGAAGCAGGAACGCCCAGAGAGGCCCCCCAGACGGCCACGGAAGGCGTCAGACGAGTCAAGGGCCACCCTGAGACGGCCCAAGAGGCGCCAAGAGGCGCCCAAGATGCCCCAATAGGCCTCCCCAGAGGCCACCAGGAGGCCCCCAGGAGGCCCCAAGAGAGCCTCTAAGAGGCCTTCTCCTGCTTGTGTTCATGTTCCCCCTCTCCTCCTCCTCCTCCTCCTCCTCCTCCTCCTCCTCCTCCTCCTCCTGCTCCTCCTGCTGCTCCTCCTCCTCCTCCTCCTCCTCCCTGAGATTACGACCCGCCTCAATTCAGACCGCTCGCTGAATTGCAGCGGGCGTGAACTCGGCATTCCACCTGCCGCGTGGACAAAGACGAAGTCAACTTCACGACCCGTTCCATCTCAGACCAGTCGTCGGAATTGCGCTGCTCCTGCACTCAGTGACCTTCCTGATGCGCTGTTGCACGAGCACGGTGGCAGGGTGTGCCGCATGCAGCTGCATAGTTGCAGTGGCAAGTGATGACTACCTACCAGACCACCCCAACCCAACCCGAAGACCCGACTTCGACCCGAATTTCGGGTTGGGGGGGTACGGGTTCCATGTGTTTTTTCAGTGTTTCCCGACCCCCCCCCTAACTAGAAATGGAGGGCAAATTGAAGCCTTCGGGTTGGGTTGGGGTGGTTTGGTGAGTGGTGAAGTGAGGGCTCACTAGTAGTGGTCCAAGCGTGGTGGAAGTCCAGGGGAGCAAACATTTGCACAAGCATGAACGTTTGGAGGTCCCCGCGCATGTCTTGGCTCTGCGCTGGAGGCCGTGCCAGAGGCGCCGTCGCGGGGGCCCCGCACATGGGTGCGGAGCGTCGGAAGTTGTGCACGCCGTTGCTGTGTCTTCGACGGCCGTGGCCGTCGTCGTATGAAGGGGTCCTGGGACACACAAATAAATACACACAAACAAAACAATTCCCCATACTTTCTCATATGTTCTGGGTTTCTGCCTTCCCCCCCACTTCCCATCTTCTCCTATATTTCCTGGGACATCGAGGATTCATTGTGTCCGTGTGTTTCTGTTCCTCCTGATCGTAGCGCCAGCAGGTGTGGCCACCACCGGGAGCGGTGGGGCCACCCGCAGCGGCGCTCGAGGCGCAGGCCACACCAAGCGAGGCGGGGCCTCGAGCCCGAGGGCGCCGGCCAGCGCACGTGGGCGACCACCGAGCGGAGCCCCCGAGCGGGGCCTCGCCACGCCCACCTCCCGCACACGTCTACAGAAAAACGGGAAGGCCCAGGGGCCAGGCACGCCAAGCAAGGGAATCAGCAATGACACAAACAGACAACTTCGGAGGCCTGCACGGGCTCCTCGGATCGGCGCTGCCCCCCCCCCCCCCTCCCTGGCACGCGGGGCACGCCAGAGGCGGCGCCGGAGGCACCGCCAGGGGGTCTTCAGCGCCGACCCGAGACATCCGCGCGGAGCTCCGACAGTCTATGTTTAAGCAGCTTGCCTGCTTCAGTCGACAATAGAATAACAAACCCTTGGTGCTGGCATTGTTTGGGGGAACGAGAGGTGCCTGTTCGAGCATACGCGTAACACGACCGATTCACGGACAGACAAGAACTGCGGGCGCAAAGACTCCGCTCCCTCACCTACGCTCGCAAGCGGTACTTATAGCATTTCAGTCAATGGCAAATCCGCGGCGCATTCAGGCTGTGTCTGCATTGTTGTTCTTATGTACCCACCCCATACACCCTCTGATCGTGCCCCAAATAACAATATTGAAAGTCCCTGGCTGCTGCAGAGCTGATCCTGCTTCACTTGCTATCCCCGCTCCTCCGTCTTCAGGGGCAATGTCTGCGTGCTCGAACAGATCTTAAACGTCAGCTCGCCACCCTGGCACCGATCGAGCCATGTGGGATCGAGCATATGCATTATAGAAGTGTGAGCCGCAAAACTACGCCCTGGCACACTCATGATTCCGTCACGGCCATCATGTACGCGCCCAGAAAACATTTGAGAACTGGGGGACGCAAACTCTTAGGCCAATCATGTAGACTAAATGCCGGGAGGATGGTGGCAACTCCCAGAGACAATACGTGGTGCCACCAGCCCCCAACAACACTGCTTCGGACTCGGGGCTCAGGTCACCCGGTCGATGCCACAAGTGTCTGCCGCTGGCAATGGGTTTGCAGCACTCGTCCACCTTGCGTTGCACGCAGCGGCAAAACATTGCATGGCAATGCGCAGAGAATGAAGCGACCGTCAACCACTCACGAGACCGAATCGGACACCGACGGCAATCCTCTTGCTGGCCAGCTTGGGCAATGGACGATCGCCACGGTGAGCACCGTCCATTTGTCTGTCTGCCTGCCCAGCTGTCCACATGGCTTGTTCCGGAAACCCTCCATCCACAAATGTTGGAGGGGCCCTGGGACACACAAGTGAATAGACAGAAACAGCAGGATTCCCCATGCTTCCCAAAATTTTCTGGGTTCTTGCCTTCCCCCCCCCTTCCCATAAGTTTCCATCGATGTTCCTGGGGGTCGACGACTACCTGTGTCTGTGTGTGTTTCCCCCCCCCCCTGAGGTGTTGTCACCTCTGGAAGATACATCTCAGGCTTCCGCCAGCGGAGCCGCCCCCCGTTGGGCCCCCGCCGCCCCCCGCCGAGGACGGGATGGATGTCGGCCCCGCCATCCCCCGAGGGCGAGGGGGCCCCTTCTGGAACGCCCTGCAGCCTGGACATCCGACGACGAGATGCTTCCGGTGTGGGGCCCAGGGGCGCACGAATGAACACACGCAGATCCCAGGCTTCCCCAGACTTCCGGGTATTCTCTGGGTTTTCGTCTTCCCCCCCCCCACTGCCCATATTTCCCCATATCCTGGGGGGGGAATCGACGATTCATTGTGTCTGTGTGTTTTTCCCCTCCTGACAGGAGAAGTCCCGACCCTTTCCCAGGGGACAGTGTTCCGTCCAGGATCCTGATCCATGCTTGATGGCCCCGCCGACCACTGCCCTCAAGGCCGACATCGCCGAAAAGCCGCCGGTTGAAAAGATCAAATCGTCGGAGCTCTGGGTACGTGTCCGCCCCGTCCTGGAAACGACGAGGCCGTTCTTTTACTGGCTCCGTTTTGCCGTTTTTTGTTGCCGGTTCGGGCGCCGCTTTCTCTCCCGTTGCATCGCCGTGTCTGTTGCCGGTTCCAGCTCTGGTTCCAATTCTAGAGCCGTGTGTTTTTGCTGCTTCCGGTTGCCGTCTTTTCTTTTGCCGTCACTTTTCGGAAACGGTGAATCAAACGGCCCCGACATTTCTTGGCCTCGCTCACCCAGACATCCGGCTGCTCCAACTTTTTCGATGCGTGGCCCCCGGAAGTCTGGACCACTTCCTCTGGGGCCGGTGTGTCGCCCCGAGCCGTTTTTCGACGGTCCCCCGAGGGCCTGCGAGGGCCCCCAGAGGCCGATAACAGCCACAAAACGCCCGCTCCAATTCTTGGTAGGGAGCGTCGGATCTCTGGGAATGTCTGTCCCTCGGCCCGTGGGACGCACAGAGACATACTGGTACTACATGTCCTCCTTGGAGGCGCGCGTCCGACCCGAACATATAGTATACCCATGTTTGTAGCGCATCGTTTCCCGAGCGGTGTGGCCAGAAAGCGCCCGCCACGGCGCATATACTATAAGATTTCTCGGTGCGCGCGTCGCCCCTGGGGGGGGCGACGCACATGTAGTAGAAGTATGGTGGGGTGACGCCGAGTTCAAGCGCCTGTCCGCTGCGGATCCGAGCCAGAACGCGAGCTCCACAGACCGAGGACCGCTGCACAGGGTGTACAGAAGCCTCCCAGAGCAGCGGGAAGGGGGCCCGGGCATACTCGGGAGCTCCTGGAGACCACCCTCTCACAGACCCGGGGAAGCGGGGAGCGCACAGGCAGAGGACGAAGCCAGCACCAGGACAGATTCGGACCGGGACAAATTGGAGATCTCTGAGCTCTGGCGGTTCTGGAGGATCACATGGGGCCCAGGGACACACAACAAAGCATATAAACAACTCCCAGGGTCCCCCATCTTTTCCAATACTTTTATGGCTTTTCACCTCCCCGCACGCATCCCACATGTTTCTCTATAGTTCCCTGGGAGTCGACGGTGAATTGTGTCTGCGTGCTTCCCCCCTCCTGAAGGACGTGTCGGGCGCAGCGGTCGTGCTGGAGCGCTCCCGCACGCCCTGCGCGGGAAGTGAGAGGAAAAGACACGGCGTAACACGAGCATACACCTTGCGAAATGCTTAAGAAATCATGGGATAAGAAATTCATAATCTCAGAATTTGAATAAAAACCAAACATTTCTATCAACATCGTGGGATTTACATTGAAACTTAAGAATAATCGAGACTCTGGACGAAAACTTAGGTTTTCTTAAGCATCGCCTAGGGTGTACGCTGCTTTCGGAGGCCCGCGCGGATTTATCGGATCGACGCTGGGCCCCCCTCCCCGGCGCGCGGAGCGCGCGGTTGGCGCCGGAGAAGTCGGCAGGGGGTCCCCGACGCCGATCCAACAACTCCGCGCGGACCTCCGAAAAGTGCATGCGCAAGTATGCAGATGCTTGTGCTGCGAATTGTGCCTCTCACATCGTACTTCAGGACCACATTCGAGAATCAACTCCAGGCACCCAGACAATCATCGAAACAGCGTCTGCACCACGCGCCAGCGAAGTGTCGAAGGAGTATCGCCCCCGGGGCCCGACACGTGACATTTCTTCAGTTTGGGCACTTTCCTGGTGCTGAAAATTATTTCTGCCGATCAACGCTCGATCAAGGGGGAGGAAGATGATGATGATAAGGAGGAGGAGGAGATGGAGGAGGAGGCAAAAGAGGAGGAGGAGGAGGGGGAGGAGGAGGAGGAGGAGGAGGAGGAGGAGGAGGAGGAGGAGGAGGAGGAGGAGGGGGGAGGGGGAGGAGCAGGAGGAGGACGGGGAGGGGGAGGGAACGGAGGAGGAGGACCAGGAGGAGGAGGAGGAGGAGGAGGACCAGTGTAAACCCAAGATTCATAAACAATGTTGGAGTAAACCCTCCCTCCAAGCTCCCTCGTCATAGGCCCCTACAACTGTTCATTTCCATTGAGGGAACTGCCTCGTTGGAAGACAACCGTTTGAAGACCGTGAAACACGCCAAAAAATTGACTCTCGGGATTCCATCGCCACGGATCAATATGACTGCTGCGTTTTGACGAACATGAGCCGTGCCAGAACGCCATTCCAGGAACTTCAACACAGAGAATCAACGTAACTGCTGCACCCGTATAGTCCTGAATCCTTCCGCAACACCATTTCTGGTACGCTGATGATGAGAATCCGTGAAACTCTTGAAAACGAATGTGCGCCGCGCTAAGGCGAGAACCACATTTTGAAAAGGAACCGCCCTCAGTCCGTGAAACTCTTGCATTTTTTGTCAAACGAATGTGCACTGCGCTAAAGCGAGAGCCACTTGTTGAAAACCATCCGCCCTCAATCCGCGAGACTCTTGCAAACTTTCAAAATGAATGTGCGCCGCGCAGAGGCGAGAGCCACATTTTGAAAACCACCCGCCCTCCATCTGTCAAACTGTTGCCAATTCAGATGCTTCAGAATCATAAATGGTGATGAAGTCTCAGGCGAAACGCCCGGCCCGCCCTAAAAATTGGCCTCGGGGTGCGACAGGGATAAGTTATTTATAAGGAAAAAGAACGGAGAAGGAGGAACTGGAACTGGAACTGGACAGACGCGAAGCGTCACAACAAGGGCCACATTACTCCTTGGGCTTTAAGCCCCTGGAGAGACGATCTAATATCTCCCGCCTCTTGGGCGTCAAATTGGCTGTAGAGCATTCCTTACCTAGGTCCCGAATCTGATCGGTGCCGTGTCGGGAGCAGACTCTGCAGAACCAATAACCACTGGCGGCATGGAAATACATACGGTGCGAATGATGCGCGAAGGACCCCCCGATGTGCACGGCCCCTGACCCTGGGGCCGCCTTGAAGAGCCCCCCGCCCACGGCCTGAGGCGGACAGCACGGCGTTCTGAGCCATGCCGTCCGTGTCCCTCGGCTCGCCGCCGAGAAGCAGTTGGTACACCTCCTGCCCTCGGGATCGACACGATGAGACGACCCGAAGGGGGCGACGGCGGCGGGCGACGGCGGCGGCAAAGGGCGAGAGGGAGGGACAGGAGGAGGGGAGGAAGAGGCAGCAGTATCAGCATTGGATGGAGGCGATCCCTCGGGCTTTCTGTTCGCCACTGCCATAACGTCCAGGGTTGCCCTCATTAGCCGCTTCCGTACAAGACTGGCTGTACTCTCTACCTCCAAGATCCTCGCACGTACACTCTCTGAAAGGCGGGCCTCCAAAGCGCTCGCACCCGCAAGCTCGTCCACTACAGTATTCCCGATCAAGAAGTGCTGGGGAATGCCTCTTCTTTTGGCTTCGACAAGGTCCAAATGCGACGGCATCCACAGAACAACAATCTCATGATGAGGACGCTTCTGCTCATCTAATAAGGCCCCGATGGATCTCCAGGCGGATGCCATCTCACCCGAGGGGTTCTTGAACTTCCGAGCCCACCACCCGTTCACCACCTCCTCATTGTCAGCCACGTAGACAACGGGCCCACAGGTGTATCTGATGGTAAGTTCAAGAGCGGCCAGTTCACCCCGAGGAACAGTTTGACGAGGGCCCACCAAAGGCCCTGAGATAGCTGAACCAATAACAGGCGGGGAAAAACTCGACATCGTTGCCACAGCTAAACCAACACGTCTAAACAAGGGATTCTTGGTATCTGGGCCCCCCGACGCATCCCCGAAGACAAGCACAGGGTCATCGTCCTGCCCGACACCAAGACACCCTGGATTCAAGGTGGAATCGCTGATACCATAAACCTTCCATCTCACTTCATCGGGGGGTGGGTCAACCTGCAGCCAGCTTGCAGGAATAACCCCCCTCAGCCAAAAACAGGCGAACATTTCGCTCTGAGCAACTGCTTGAGCGCATAACTTATCCGAGGCTTCGTAAATACTATGCCCCGTGTTGCACTCACAAAGCCACGCACGATGCAGGGGGTCCTCCCAAACCATCTTACACCTCGGGCATAAATCATCGGTAATCAAACCCTCATCCTTACGCCGAGATTGCGGCCATGAACCCCCTACAGCGATGTTGACCAAAACTTCAGACAGTTGGCGCCCTCT